ACAAGGTGCTTTCTGGCGTTCAGAGTTAAGAAAGATCTATTGCTGAAAAAGAAGCCCAGCTTTAATTTCAGCTTCTTTATCAAGTTTTCAACACATGGCTTCAAATGTGCATCGACCAAAATTCCTGTCTGTGAACCTTAACGTGTAACAATGAGTTGTGTGTCTGATTTCAGCATTCCACACCATGACAGACAAATACTACATTTGAATTGAAGGCTCACTCTCGTGGTTACAGTTTGCTGCTGGTTTCAGGCCATGAAACTTTATGTTTTTGCTCGTGTCACCTGTTGTGTTTCTGCTGCAGTTTTTGGTGTATGGCAGAGTTACAGCGCCACACTCAGGTCTGACATGGTTTTCAGGTCTCTCTTGTAAGTGAGTCCCCGAGGCTCAATGGGATTAACCTGCAGAAACTGACTGAATAGTTACTGCTGCCTGGCTTCAGTGTGGATGACATGTCTAGAAACTGTACCGTGTTCACAGAGAAATTTAAAAAATGTTCTGGAAAAACAGCATTTCTGTGTGACAGGGCCTAAAACTTTGTTAAGTCAAGGTACAGGGGGGAAATCTTCGTCCGCATCAGTGTTGTTGTATGAAAGCTGATAAAGATCAGAGGTGTGCTGCCATGCCTGGGTGAAGACCTGCAGGTCTCCACCATGAACAAACAGCTGCGAGCTGCACATTAACTCCACGCCTGTTTCATGCTCTGATAACAGCGCACGAACTTTGCAAACACGCACCTACCTGCATTTTTACCCACTGACTCAGGTTAACGTCGCCCAAACCTTTCTTCTAATTCAGAAAGATAATTATTTCTTTATCTTTCTTGAGCTGAGGCCAAAACGTGCAAATTACACAAAGTTTTGATCGTTTTAAACAGAAAGACTAGTACAATGTTAACTTTCACAGTAAATACCGTAACACTACCACAGTACTGAGAACCTATCCAAGTAAGGCGTAAGAAGTGATGACCTTCAGACCATGATGTGGTTTCAGCTCTTTAAATAAAAACATCTTGTGAGTTGTACTCACTTCTCTGGATGTTTCAATAAAATCACCAACGTCAGGAGCTCCACCCAGACGGCTGCTCGACACTCAAGTGTTTCACACTCAGAAAAAAAATTCACTTTGTGTTGGAGAGCAATTAAAGAGGAAGGAAATGATGTTTAACTTTCTGACTGGACTGGAAAAGACCCCCCGCCCCAACGAACCCCAGTCCTTAAAGTTTTTCATCTTGAGGAAGCATCTGTTTATTGACTGTTTTCAGTGTAATCAAGACTTCCTGCAGACTTTAGCTGCAGCCGGGACACTTTCAATCCAAGTGGTGCATTTAAAGCCGTCTGTTCCGACTGTTTGAAAAATCCAAAAGTAAATCAGAAATAAAAGAATTCAGTTTGCAACCTGTTTTATTTTTATCACCATTGGGATGGTGGACACAGAAAGCTTAAATCAGATCATCTGGAAGAAACGTTTCGTCCTTCATCCGAAAGTCTTCATCAGTCTGAGGCCTGCCAACAGGATCTGTCTTATAAACATCAAACCATTGACGTGTTTCAAACCAGTCTGCTGCGGAGTTCCCAGAAACTGGCTTTACACGTGCACAAAGAAGGACCATCGGTCTAAAACAATGGATCATCAGTGCATAACAACCAACTGTTACAGACAAATGGCTGCTCATCAAAGCAGCCTGAGGACAACCTGGAGCTCAGTCATCCAGGAAACCAAAGCTGGTGTTTAGGACTCGTTTTCAGAGCAAAGGACAAAGATTTATTAGGATTGTGCTGCAGCTTCTTTATTCTGCTGACGATGATGCGACGTGCAAACAAAACACTCAAAAACTAAACGCCCATGTCTACACCCGATTACCTTTAGGGATCTGTTTGATTTAGGACGGCTACCACAGCCTCAAGGCATACGTCAGGACAAATAAATGGTTTGAAGGCTCAATCATCCAGGTAGATAACAAAACAAAGGTGAAATCATGTCATCTGGACCAGTTTTTAGGATTTCAAGGGTGAATGTTGGTAGTTTTGGAGATGAGAGTTTTATGGGCTGGAACTGAACAGTGAATGAAGGTAAACCTAAATGTTTTTGGTGCAAGATAATCAAATGGGTAGAAGTTACACTGTGGAGGAGAACAGCCCGGCAGCACGATGGCTCAGTGGTTAGTACTGTTGCCTCACAGCAAGAAGGTCCTGGGTTCAATCCCCAGTTGGACCTGGGGTCTTTCTGTGTGGAGTTTACATGTTCTCTCCGTGCATGCGTGGGTTTTCTCCGGGTGCTCCGGTTTCCTCCCACAGACCAAAAACATGCATGTTAGACTGATTCAGGTGCAGACTCCAGACCTGATCTGTGATCTCAGTGGGATTTGTCTGGTTAAATAAAAGGTTCAACTCAATTCAGTTTATTTATAAAGCACCAAATCACACAAAGTTGTCTCAGGACTTTACAGGAACATGCACATAAAAGCCAATTAGTAAAGTTCTCTATCTAAGAATCCAGCAGACAAGTTGAATCTTAGCTTCGTTGCAGTCTCCCATCCTGAGCAAGCACAGTGGAGACAGTGGAAAGAAAAACTCCCTTTAACAGGAAGAAACCTCCAGCAGAACCAGCTCAGGACAAGAGACCATCTGCTTTGACCGGCTGGATGAGAGGACAGGGAGGAGAGGTTCATAATAAAATACTTTTTTACACCTAGATGCAGCAACAAGTCGGCATTTTGCTGTGAAGTTACTGAACTCATGAACTTTACATGTATATGATGGCAGCCATCTTGGATTCTGATGTGGCAAACCCAGTTTTTGATGGGGGCCTTTGTTACGCCGAGATGAAGCGGCACACCAAAACAAAAGTTAACGCTCACAAGATCAACCCGACTTACGGACGGATGAACAGGATTTCCAAATCCCCTGTTCGCTCCACAACAGAGGACAAAAATGACTGAATCAGTTTTACACACATTAGTAGTAGCTGAGAGTAATTAATAACACGTGCTCTGAAGGCTAACAGATCACACATGACATCCTTTATAAGGTTGGACCAAAGCTGCTATAACTCCATGGTTTCTCATCTAAAGCTGCTTTTAGTTCCAGATGTGGCACGAAAGGCAGCGGGCGATATGCAAACCTTGGATTACACCTTTCATGATTTTATGGACAGCACTTTGGGCAACAACATTTCTTAAATTAAACTCAAGCTCACAGTGAAAGGACGTAAGACAGAAAGTGTAAGTAGACAAACAGAAGAACGCGTAAATGTGACGGAGCTTCTTCATTCAGTCACTGTGTCCCGTGGATCCATCAGACTTCTCTAAACGAATAAAAATAAAAACGAGAGTAAAAATACCTGAGAGTCACGGGAAGTTGGTCCAGAAGGTCCTTTTTGATTATTTACACCTCATTCCTTTAATTTTGTTCATTCGGCTGAAAAACTTCACTGTTCTTCTGTCACTCTGTCATCTTCAGCTCCCGAGTGCGTCTTCAAGCTGCAGCAGCACCACACCTGCTAAACACACACACACGTGCTCAAACACACACACACGTACTCAAACACACACACACACGTACTCAAACACACACACACACACACACACACACACACACACGTGCTCAAACACAGGTGGAGCTATAGAATATTTATTTAAATTACATCCATCCATCCATTATCTTTTTTACCTGCCTCTTCCATTTTGGGTCACGGGGGTCGCAGGTGCCCATGTCCAGCAGTCACTGTGCGAGGGACACCCTGGACATGTCTCCAGTCCATCACAGGGACACAGAGACAAACGAGACAAACAACCATTCGCTCTCTCACCTAGGGACAATTTAGAGTTACCAATCAGACTAACATGCATGTTTTTGGTTTGTGGGAGGAAACTGGAGTACATCTGTAACCACCGACGCTGTAGTCCTTCTGCCCCTTCCCCCCCCGTACCTGCTTCAGGAGTCCTCCGGGACAGCCAAGTCCTGAAGGCCTCCTTCTCCAGCCTGATGGTCTCCATCACTGCTGGCGTCCACCAGCGGGTCCATTGGTTGTCGCTACAAATGACCTTCAGGCTACACCTCCTGGAAGCTGCATCTGCAATACATGCTCTGAACATGTCCAGCCTTACCTGGGACAGGTGAAAAACTCTCCTGGAGGTGTGAGTTGAAGATCACATGGACGGGGTGGCTCCACCAGACGTTCCCAGTTCATCCTCACTATGTGTTTGTGTTTACCAGGTCATGGAAAGTCTCATGGGAAAATACTCAACTCCCCTGCCAACAAACAAAATGTACATCTGCAAAAAATCTACAGGAAGAAGAAAAAGACGCAGAAGTTGAAGGAAGTTTGACGGTGAGACCGCGAGAGCTGGAGTGAGTAGAGATGTGGCATTTAGCGTGTTTGGATTCTAGTTTAGTCGAGTCAGTTTTAGTTCGACTCAAACAATGAGGCAGTTTTTGAACATGAAGCTGCAGCTGGGAGACGGATGCTCGGACCAAGACATGGACGGAGCCTCAGGGTTAGGACCTTCTCAGACAGAAGAGCCAGAGATTAAAATGATTTGGTGAGGAAGTGGGAGAGCCATCATTTGTTTCAGAAAAGGAAGAGTTCACCGAGTGGCCGCCTGAACCCTGGTGTGATGTCGGCCTTCGGTAATCATCGTCCGTGTGCTCACCTGTTTCTTTGACTGGTTTATTTTCTCAACACGACGTTCTGACACGGAAAAAAAAAATCTTTGTATTCTATGACAGTGGGTGCTGGACTTTAAACAGTTTAAAGGCAACACTACCAAATACTAACATTCATCACTAACATGGGTGGAAACGTGACTTTGAATACAGTAAAAAAGAAAAGTGACGTTTTCTCATCAATACTTGAGCATTGAAACAATAGAAGTTTAGGAATCGACCTAAAACGGTCTGTGTGATTTGATGTCAGACAGTGGGATTTTATTGGTGATGTGTCTTTTATACGGGAGATTAAAACATTTGAACAATATGTTAAAAAGCAGAGTCAGCGTGTCTTTATCATTTAAACGTCTTTTATTGTTTTGTTGAGAACATTTAAATAACATAAATCTGACTGTGGTAGTTTGGATGAACACACTGGATCCCAGCAGGTTAAAGTTGGTATAGTTTTGTCCCGGACACACAGCTTCCTGTTTTCCCACCATGATGCCCACCGAGGGCGTGGCAGCAGCTGGCAAGTTAAAAGTTGATGGCTTTGCCAAAGGAGGCCGCCAGGTTGGCTTCTCTGAAAGCTTCCGACACCGTCTGCAGACACAAACCAACAGATGGGTAAAACACGTGGCCGTTTTAATTTCTTCAAAAAACATAAGAACTGCCGTGAAAGTCACAGCTTTAAAGTTACAACGTAAAACAACTGAGCTCTGGGTGGAAACAACAATAAAAACGTGTTGAACGACTGCTGAAAGAAGCTAAAACTGAGCTGTTAAAGAGGCAGACTACTAGCTAAAAGCTAAAAATGGGCAACGAGGTAGCGAAAAGCTAAAAGTAGTAAAAGGCCAGGCAATTCCACTAACACATAACACCCTAAATAATTTTAACTAGGGATGCACGGTATTGAATTTTTGGCCGATATCCAATATGCCAATAAGTTCAAACTTATTTGGCCAATAACCGATACCAATACCGATATTTCCCCCTAGACCTCCTTACAGAGACTACACAGCTTTCTCTGCTGTGGAATTAAATACTACATTATTCTGCAGGTCTTTGTCAGTTTGACCTGCTACCAAATGCAGATGCCAAAAAGATGCAACACCTCAACTTGAATTATGTTTAATGCCAAATTTATTCATGATGTTTACTCTCCAACACAATGACAACACTCGAACAGTGCACATTTGTAAATTTTCACAAATCTAAACTCGATCTGTTCACAAGCGAAAAGTGGAAAGCGCATAAGTGCATTAATAAATAAACTTGACAGTCTCTTCAATTAAAAATTAATTAGAAACAGAAGCCTTTAATATTGGTGAATCATTTTGATGGAATGGCCGATGTCCGATATTTAACTTTATCGCCAATATCGGCCGATACCATGCCGATAATATCGTGCATCCCTATTATTAACCTCTGCAATAACTAGTTGTAGTTGGTGCTCAGTGAATTTTATTGGCTCTGGAGAGACACAGATCGACCTGGCTGGACAAAAGAAGTGTCATTCAAAGAGGGAGGGCCTTTACTGACATCTCGACATTTTAGTATTTAAATTAAAATCCCTGGCAGAATTTATGAGCCTCAATTAAAATCTACATCAACAGGACCTGCATGCAGGCTTCTGAAAGCTAAATGTAGCAAAACAATAGTTAAAAGTAGCGTAAGACCACAAGAATACTGCGCTGAAACAGAATTAAAAAAGAAGAATGTTCTGAAGAAATGCTGGCTCAGCATTCACACCATCAAAGGTCTGGCGTTACTTAAAGATATACACATCCGCCCCCTCCTTTAGGAGACCAGGTGATGCTGAGACATGACAGACGTGGCTCTGACGCTGCTCAATAATCCAGGTAGATGAATCCAACCAGGTTGAGTCAGGTCCTCCGGACGGTTCTTCTTTGTTGAAACTAGGGCTGCACAATAATTTGACATCGATACACATCACGATGTACTTTTATTCAGTAACGGTGATATGAGTTTTAAGCACATTTTCAATATGATTACAGAGTTTCTCTTTCTGTTTGGGTTGAAGCGGCCGAACAGAAAACGCCGTGACACAACTACGTCAGTGCGTGGTGACGTAGATGTTACGCAGAGCTCGAGTCCAGAAGGGGTTAGCAGTAGCAGGCTAGGCTAACGTCCGACACGCGTCAAGTTTTCTCTTCAAAATGAGTGAGTGCGCACGAGCGTCAGAATGTGACTCAACAGACGTTCACAAGCGAAGAGAAGCAGATGACATCATCGATTAGATTTGAGCGGTTCGGCTTTCTGAGATCTGATAAACTGCAGGTTTCAGTCAGTGAGTTTTTAGATGAAAGACTTCTTCAGTCAGACTGAAGAAGTCTTCTGGATGAAAGACTAAACGTTTCAACAAAGAACTGTCCAGAGGACCCGAGTCAACCTGGTTAGACAGCTGTAGTCATTGATCAAAGGTAGAAAACAAAGGTCCTGGTTTTGGAGAAACTGAACGTGAAGATATATTTTTAAAAATCTACAACAAAGTGAACACAAAGCTCTACAGTAAAATTATTACCCACCGCCAAAAGACAAAGAGGGATGATGTTTTTGTCCATGCCTGTGTGTGCGTGTGTTAGCAAAATATTTCTTCAGCCACTGAATTAATTTCAATAAAACTCTCAAAGTAATCCCTGAATGAACCAGTACAACTGATAAGCTGCTGGACAGAACCCAGTTCAAGATGGCCGTCTCAGCTAACAGTCAGTTTTACAGACATGGAGCTAAAATTAGGTGATAAATAGCTGAAAGTCATTTACAAGACACCGAGTGCATCTTGAAGATCTCACAGAATTGTAGAAGAGGTCGTGAAAACGGCTGCAACTCATTTTTCATCATCATAATCTTAAGTGAACAAAAATGGAAGATGAAGGGCGACATGCATTCAAGGAGCACTACGACTTCATAAGCAGTTCTTGTTTATGGAGAACATAAATGAAGAAATAGGAAATACACTCACTGGCTGATAAGAGAACTGACATTTTCTCATTATATTTACGTCTTTATTGTTTTTATGGTTTCTTGTTCGGCATCATCTTTTCACCGTTTATCGTTTTGTGTTCGGCAGCGGTTGTTGGCAAACGCTTCATGAATAACTTTCATTTGTATAAACTTTTAAAGGTGAAAAACGTGCAGTCAAAACATAAAAAAGTGGAATTTGTTCAACAAATCCCGACACACACAAAACCTTTAACCAAAGTACTGATTCGTGGACGGTGCACGGCGGTACGTACAGGGTGGGCGTGGCAGACCCGGGCCACGTCCTCGCACGAGGCGCCGTACTCCATGGCCAGAGCGGCTTCATTAATCATCTCCCCCGCCCCCTACGGGAAACAAACGTTCATTTTAACACGTGCGAGCTTTAATCAGCCCAATGAACCCACCCCCCCCCCCCCCCCCCCCCCCCACAAGCTTTACACCATTTAAAAGTAGATATTTCACACATGACAATCTGAACAGTGGACA